TCTCATTTTCCCAATCCAAACAACTATTTTAATGAAAACTACAGCAACACAGAAGTGCTATTTTAATGAAAAATACAGCAACACAGAAGTGCTATTTCTATTTCTATTGTTTTCCTGTCTAACTAATACAGCACAGTAATAAATCCTGAAAGATTAAGAGAATTGTACTTTTTTCCTTTTTATATGATTGCTAATTTTGCATTGCTAGCACAGGCATGTATTTGACTAAGTGTAAAATTACATTTTAAATAGCAATGTCTAAATACATGAGATTTCTAAAACAGTAACAATAATCCTGTGCTCATAGTAAAAACTTTAATGGGTAAATTATTATTCCTAAATTTTATAGCAATTACATCAATCAGGAAAGAAGTTTGGAGATTTGTTAAAATTAGAATGGGATAAATACACATACATTTAGCACTGTATCTTAAGTGGGGCATACCTTATAAATTCAAGACTGACCTCAATCCACACCCATGAATATATACTGCAGTCCTTGCTGAAAAGATCCAAGGCAGAGAAGAAATGGTTGTGAAGATTCCTGTCAGAGAAATAAGGACACCTATTCCAGTGGATCAGCTCCACTGATAGATATGGAAATGTAAAATACTTTTAAAATTTATAGGATTACACCCTGGAACATAGATAGCAACCTAAATATAAACTCTTTCAAGCCATCATTTGAAAACAACTTTGTTTTAATTACTCCTTGCTTTACTTTAAAAGAAGTAAAATTAATGAAGAAATATTTGTATTTGTTCCAAGTTGCAATGGCAAAAAATAATTTTGTCCTCTAATATATGAACTTGAGTTTGAGTGCCAAACTCATTTCATAGATTCACATATTTCCCATTTCACTGCAGTATCTCTGTGTATATAGAATAATTTGGATGCCTAAGCTCATTGCATTAAAACTATGCCTTTTACCAATTTTTAATATTTTGTGTCTTACTGCCAATTGCAAATCCGAGGTACCATGTTTGAAGAGAAGAGCTTGGTATCCATTTTGAGGCTGTTCAAGTAATTAAAATTACATTCACATTTTCTTTTACTAGCTATAGTAATAAATCAAGAATACTTGTTCAAAAGAAAGGTTAGTAAATATATTCCAAATTCCAATTTCATCCTGATTCCCATTTTCTTTTTTAAATTAAAAATTAATAACTTTACTTGAACTGAATTATTCTTCTTATGTGAAATCTACTTTGATATGTTTCATGTGAATTTTCATGTGCTGGCTTGACTATTAAGTTAGCAATGTAATAAAATGCTCAGCTCTCATAACGAGGGCATTTTAAGGTGAATTGCATTCATATGCCATCTATTTGCAGAAAGAGTATGGGGTTTGGCAAAGCTACATGCTGAGCAACATAATAAGATATTTGTACAAAGTACAAGTTACTGATTATTATTGTGTTTTATTTTTCTATGATTTCCTAAGAGGCATTATCAAGTCTTACAAATGGAATAAGCCTGTTTACTAAGATATTTATTAGCAAATAAAAGTACAGTACTCGTGGTTATTTCTAAGTGTGTTTGTTCGCCTAAATTGTGTAATTTAAAAAATCCTACAGATTAGAGAAACCAGCTATTTTTATTAATGCACACATAACAGATAATAGAAACTCAGAATTTTTAGAACCAGATAATGAAAATGCCTAGCTACTACTTTTAAAAAAAAAATTAATAACATATGCACTGGATCAAAGCAAAGCTAAGAGACATTGTTCCTGTACTGTATTATCCCATCTGTTTCACATAACAAGAAAATGTGAACTATGTAATGTAGACAATAGCATGCACTGCTTCCTGACCTTGAACTACTGATTTAAAGGCAAAAGAGTAGAGCGAAATCTAGATTGGCTGGGGTGGGGATCTAATCCTTCCTCGCAACTATGAACTTGGGAGATACAGATAAGAAGCCTGACTTTTCTCTAGTTCTTTTATAGAAAGAGATGTTATAAATATAGTACAATCTGAAATGTGGGTATTATCTCTAGAAATAAACTGCAATTAAACTGACCAGGGCTTCATTCTTCTATTAGTAAACCTTCCAATACAACTGAATTGGTGGAACAGTTGCCATAAGACAATTCAAGAACAACTGCTTTAAAGCAGCATGTTAACAGAGACAATCTGTATACTGGTTATTAAACAAATCTAGGCACAAAATAATTCAAACATTCTATAATCTATAACTTGCAAAATATCAGCAAATGGCTGATTATTACCTGAAGTGCAAAAGCTAGAAAAGATGTATACTTCCTATAAAAATTCTAAGTACTCTTTGGGGAAGGTTCTTCCAGACTATGTGAGTACAATTCACATACCGTACCATTAGCCAATCCTCAATTTCAGTGAGGAAATGAAAAAAAAAAAGAAACCAGACTGTTAAATATACTTAAAATCTATTTATTCAGAAATGCATTAGCAAATAGCAGATATGGACAAGAAATACAATCATATATTAATCCAGGTACAAGTACATGCAAAGATCAGTAAAATCACATAGGAATGATTGGGGAAGGATCCTATGCACACTGAATCAGTAACAGATTATAAAATAAACGCTCATTTAATTTCAGATGCGGATTTTTGTTGTCTTAAAACATGTTAATTCATCAAGGCAACAATTGACAACTCTTAATTTAACTTATATGCAGAGCACATCATGAGAAAGGCAGGGCTAGATGAATCAAAAATTGGAATTAAGATTGCCAGGAGTAATATCAACAACCTAAGATATGCAGATGATACCACTCTAATAGCAGAAAGTGAAGAGGAACTAAAGAGCCTCTTGATGCAGGTGAAGAAGGAAAATGCAAAAGTTGGCTTGCAACTCAACATTAAGAAAACCAAGATCATGGTATCCATCCCTCTCAATTCCTGGCAAATAGATGAGGAAGAAATGGAGGTAGTGACAGATTTTATCTTCCTGGGCTCCAAGATCACCACAGATGGGGAGCCAAGAAATTAAAATACGCTTGCTCCTGGGGAAGAAAGCTATGGCAAATCTAGACAGCATACTAAAAAGCAGAGACATCACCCTGCCAACAAAAGTAGTATAGTCAAGGCCAGGGGTAGGCAACCTTGGCTCTTTTATGACTCATGGACTTCAACTCCCAGAATTCCTGAGCCAGCCATGCTGGCTCAAGAATTCTGGGAGTTGAAGTCCATGAGTCATAAAAGAGCCAAGGTTGCCTACCCCTGGTCAAGGCCATGGTTTTCCCAGTTGCAATGTATGGCTGTGAAAATTGGACCATAAGAAAGGCTGAGCGCAAAAAAATTGAAGCCTTTGAATTATGTTGCTGGAGAAGACTCCTGCGAGTCCCTTGGACTGCAAGGCGTTCAAACCAATCAGTCCTAGAAGAGATCAACCCGACTGCTCTTTAGAAGGCCACATTCTGAAGTTGAAACTCAAATACTTTGGCCACCTAATGAGAAGGAAGGACTCACTGGAGAAGGGCCTAATGCTGGAAAAGATTTGAGGGCAATAGAAGAAGGGGACGACAGAGAACGAGGTGGCTGGATGGAGTCACTGAAGCAGTAGGCGTGAGCTGAAATGGACTCCAGAAGATGGTAGAGGACATGAAGGCCTGGAAGAACATTGTCCATGGGGTCGCGATAGGTCGGACACAACTTCGCAACTAACAATATACAATAGGAAGGAGAACGGCTGTAAATCGGCGCGCAATATAATTTAGTAGGTTACTATTTCGAATTAATAGGGCGGGTGAGGTTAATTTGCGTTTCCAGAGTGCCTTTATACGTTAACAGGCAGTCGTCTTTCTCAATCAGATCTCTGACACAAATACCCCTCAGGATCCAACCTTCACCTCAATATGCAGATATAATGAGCTTTTAAATGTTTAATTTAAAGAAGACATTGACGAAACCCCAAATGTGGAGGGCGGAGTCTACCCGGATTACTGTTCCTTCCCAAAGCACGTCTTCGTCACCGTTATATTCAAACCCTGAACCCGTCTCTTGATATTTCTGTATTCCTCGTCGCGAAAAGATTCAGGGCGAAAGGTAAGCGCTTTTATGGCGGATCGGCCCCGCTTTTTTTATTTAGGCAAGAGCGACTCTTCACCTAGCAGAGAACTAGCAAAACTTCACCCCCACCCTGGACTGGACAATAACGCTCCGCCTCGAGGAGGGCGTGCCTTACAGAACGGTTCTGTTTCCGAGGTAACGACGTAGGCGTCGGGGAAGTGTGGGGAGGGGGGGAGAAGAGAAAGAGGTTCTTGCTCTTTCAAGGCCCGACGGACAACTGCTGTTGGTTGCTTTTTCTTTGGTGAGTCTAATAGCGGCGCGGATTCCTGCTCCTTTAAAAAAAGGTGGGGGGGAGGTGCGTTGGGTTGAGTGCTTCTCTTGTACTTTTCATTTATGTAGCCTTTCTCTGTAAGATTAGGTCACCTGGATTTCATAGCTTTCCCTTTGGACGAATCCTGGGAGAGGATTAGTATAGCTATCCGAAAGAGCGTGATCGACTCACGCTAACCCAGCCAGCTTCATGGCAAAGCAAGGATTTTAAATCCGGGTTTAACCATGTCATTCTTAAAGCGGCTCCCCAGATGCGTAGGATTTAAAGGCGCATCGTTCTCTAGGAAGGCATTCTGGACTTGGAGTCTATCTATTTGAAAAGCACCAGTGTGGGAAATAGTGCTCTTGATTACCCTTTAAAAATTCTGATATCTGGGTGGAACTAGAAAAGCGAACCAGAAAAGTTTATTTACAGTTGGGGGGGGAGGGGATGCTACATCCTTAAATACCTGTCTTGCCTAATTATTTGTAAATTTCATGTAAAAGAAGAAATGGCAAATTAGCATGAAAATAAATTCAGGCACAATCCACATTTCCAATAATGCATCTAGACCTTTTTAGAGGAACACTGAGTGGAAAAAAACTCATTGGTTTCAGCTTAATATTTTATTTGGAAATCTGTTTGCCTACTCAGAAGAAGCAGACTAAGTGTATTTTCTTTGTGAAGTGTTATAAATGTGATTTTTCCATGTTTGTCACATCTGACTGAAAATATTATCCACTTGTATCCAAAGGCCCCTGTAGTCCCACTATATTTAAAGATGCAAAGGTTTTATAAAGCTAAACTACTGATAATAGATATTGTAATGTAGAACTGACATCCTTTTTAATTAGGCATGAAACTCTTATTTGCGGGTATGATATAATTACTGGGTTCACTTCTTGGTCCTTGAATATTTTTAATAGTGCACTGTACAGAATGTTCTGATTTTGGTTAAACTGTAAAACAATAAACATAGATCTACTTCACTAACCTCATTGCACAATGCTTTATGAATTATAAAATCACATTTATCCATTGACAGAAAGATATTGTGCTTTAACAGGAAGATAAGTACCTAGCCTGTTTTGACCAGAAGACTTTCCAAATAAGCAGCTTATCTACTTGTTCCTTAGGTAACCAACCTGCTGTGACATGATTTGCAATTATTTCTTCTCTAAGATGCTTCTGATTTAATTGTTTTAGAACCTTTGCCTTCATGTTCATCTATAGTAATTTCAACTTTTAAATCTATCTATCTATCTATCTATCTATCTATCTATCTATCTATCTATCTATAGCCTTCAGAAACACCAAATTGTGCCATTCAATCAAAATTATGGGATTATTTGATAAACTGGCAAGTTGGCTCGGTCTGAAAAAGAAAGAAGTTCATGTTCTGTGCCTTGGATTAGACAACAGTGGTAAAACAACAATTATCAACAAGTTAAAACCATATAATGTAAGTAGACATTTTTAGTTTACTACTAATTTGGTTTATATTGTTGAAAAGCTGACATTTATCACTGGAGATATTTATGGAAATATGGAATGTTTAATACATTGCAATATTTAATTTCAAGACTATTTACTCCTTTGAGAAGGAGTAAATAGCAAGTAAGCGTTTAATGTTAATATGGTTTATCTTTCCAAAAATAAATGCTAAATAGGAATTGTGTTTAGATTTGTAACTCAGAACTTAAAAATTAAATATTCGTTGGACTGTAAATTTAATCTAATGAAATAAAATAAATAATGTAGTTCAATATACAATAGAATACAAAAGGGAACATTGTGAAAGTATTAATTACTATGATTGTGATACCTTAATTCATAGCCAGGTAACTTGTTAATTGTACTTAATTGTTTGAATTGAATCATAAACTAAGTAAATGGAATGTATTCCCCAACTCCCTCAGCCCCTTCCCTCCATAACACTCAAAACTTTCCTATTCAATTAAAAACCCTACCCATTTTTTATATGCACTGCAACTCATGGAAGAAGGGCAGAGTTTCCATTGTGTGATTATGGCTGCCATCTTGACTTTTCCATTCTCTTTCCCCATGAAAAGGGACCCCCATCCCCAAACCCACCTACTTCATGCACATTTCCTTTGTGGGTTTGTACCAGTCCCTCTTTCTCAGTCCAATTGGGGATAGCTGGCAATTGCAGGAATAAAACTGGAGGCCAGAATGCTACAGTCACAAAACCTCTCCAATCTTTGGAGGAAAAGCAAAATACTGCCAAATGACTAAATAAAGAAGGAACCCTTCCTGCTTGGCACTTGGGCAAATGCCCCGGCAGAGTTTTCCCTAACCTGGCCAAGCATATGGTACAAATACGGTAAGATTCTAAAAAGAGTGCACAGAAAAGCAACAAAGATGATGGGGGGGGGGTTGAAGGCTAAAACCGTTGAAGAACGGTTGTTGGATTTGTTAACGAAAAGAAGGACTAGGGGGGACATGATAGCAGTGTTCCAATATTTGAGGAGCTGCCACAAAGAAGAGGGGGTCAATTTATTTTTCCAAAGCACCCAGAAGCAAAACAGAAGCCATGGATGGAAACTGAACAGAGAGAAGCAACCTAGAACTAAGGAAAAAATTCCTGACAGAACAATTAATCGGTGGAAAGGCTTGCCTTCAGAAGTTGTGGGTGCTCCAACACTAGGAGATTTTTAAGAAGAGATTGGACAGCTATTTGGCTGAAATAGTGTAGGGTCTCCTGCAAGGTCCCTTCCAACTTTGTTATTCTGTTAAATGATCTCAAGCTCATTGGTTCAATGTTAATATTGGCTACTTCTTTAATTTATCCTCTAAGGAAGATGATAAAAGAAATAGTATTAATAGTGAACCATTAAGAACTAATATGTCAGTTTTGCCTTGGCCCGTTAGAGGTTTTATGAATTTTAAACTAGTGTTACATAGTAAAGCAAGTTAATGCTATTTACTGTACATACATGGGCCTCTCATTATACATGTAGTCCTCAACTTAATCACAATTGAGCCCAGAATTTATGTTGCTGGTGAGAACTTTATTAAGTGAGTTTTGCCCATTTTATGATTTTTCTTGCCACATTTGTTAAGTGAATCACTGCAGTTGTTGAATTAGTAACACAGTTAAGTGAACCTGGCTTTCCTAGTCAGAAAGTCACAAATGATAATTACATGATCCCAGGACACTGCAACTGTCATAAATATGAACCAGTTGTCAAGTATCTGAATGTAAATCACATGATCATGGGAATGCTGCGAGGGTCATAACTGAAAAATGGTCATAAGTCACTTTTTTCAGTGTTGTTATAACTTTGAACAGTCACTAAATGATCTGCTATAAGTCAAGAACTCCCTGTTTGCAGTTTTATGTATTTGCAGTTGATATATATGGACCAGAACTAATTATAGTAAAGGTTTTGACATATTTGTGGGTTTGACGATGTGATTCTTATCTGACTGCCATTTTGTATATTTGTAAAAGTATTCATTAGGCCTCAAATACATTTTCTCATTTCTGCTGCCAATCTTATCAATCTGCTCAATCTATATTTTCTTATATCTTTTCAGTACTTCCCACTCACCTCTCATCAGCACTCCCACCTTATCTTCCCATGCACAGTTGCCAGTCTTTGCAGTGCTTTTCTCTTTTCCACCAGGTCATTCATCGCTGACTTTTTTCACAATATACCCCACAAACTTCCAATCAGTCACTGGTCTTCCTAATCCGCTTTAGATTCCAGGCCTCATTATCTGCAGTTTTATTATCCGTAATTATAGGGTAGAATGAAATCCCAATGAATATTGAGGACACACGTGTATATATATATAATGTAGTATGTGCTTATAAGCTTTTTTTTTTCTCTCTCTCTCTCTGGTATCCCAAATCTTATTTTCTTATTTTCAGTCTAGGATTTCAGTCCTATGTTTTATAAAGAATTGTAATGCTTTGGGTTAAAGTGACTATATTTGTACAATATATATTGTGTTTTACATCCTGATTATTGTGGAATTTTATGTTTTTACTTTTGTGTGTAATTAATCCAGAGTATTTTGTTTTTCTGTAGCTTAAAATATGATAAATAAATCACCTCTATAATATTTTTTTGATTTAAATGAGCAATGCCTTGTTGTTTGATTATATCTCTGTAAAAATATTTAAGTCATGAAAGCAGTTAGATGATTAATATCGTTATAAATAATGACTGACTTGTTAAAGAGACAATTTTATAACTACCAAAAACATAGAAGGTATACATGTACTGTACTTAAATGCAAAATACAAAAAAAAGTTGAGATTTACTGGTTCCTAAACATTGCATTGTTTCTTAAGAGTAATTCATCTTCCAGTTAAGAAATAATTCATAAATAGATCATAAATATTTTTATCTTTCTTAATTGGTACATCATTCATTCTCTATGTGTTTCTCAAAAGTTAGGAGATTCCACAATATACTTAGATTGCATGAACAGACCTAATCCATGTAGTTTTTTGAGGAACACAGAAAGTGTACATTAAATATTGGATCCACATCTACAATGTTGATGAGTAACATTGAATGTTGTAATTGAATTATCATAAGATAAACATCAGTGTCAATCCTGATGAATACCTGCTACAAAAGTTATAGGCAAATATTTAGGCTTGAAAGAAATGTATTTATTTATTTATTTATTTGATTTCCACAACACCTAACTCCAAATCAATTGTTGACAGCGCACAGTAAAACACAATAAAAAAGCAATATATAATAATGAAAAAAGGTGGGGACAAAAAAGATGTGGCAAACACATAAAGATGTATACAAAACATAACCAATAAGGGGCTCATCCAAATTAATATAGCACCTGAACAACTCACATTATAAGATAACAGGAATAACTACATCACATTGTTGAGTACTAATAAATGAAGTAAAACTAAATGTAAGTAGCATATATATTAGTGGACTGAATAAAATCAGATAAAAAAAACCTGCAGAGCCACCATTAAGCAGAGTAAAAATTAGGGGCAAACTTAAATGATAAATATTTCTTTTCTATTCAAAAATATATGTATTCTTTTAAAAATGTTAGTATCATTACTTGTTATACATTTTGATAATATAATTTTATTACAGCTTCAATACACTATTATTTCAATTAAGAGAGAATATATATTACTGATTTTTAAATATTAAAATATCAATTTGTTTTTAACTCAAAAATTTTTTTGCACAGGCTCAAGCTCAAGATATTGTTCCTACAATAGGATTCAGTATAGAGAAATTCAAAACATCAAGGTAATATGCTTTTATTCTAATATATTATATCTTTCTATTATATATAATTATGCATTAAATCTTTAAAGAAAATGTTTTAGATGTAACATTTAAATTGTCATATTTTCATTCTGAAAATGTTATGTCCTGAACCACATAAGTAACTCTGAATTGTGCATCTCGCCTGTGAGAAAAGTTTCAATTAATGAACCCAAATCTATAGGAAGAAAAGGTTATTGGAAAAATGGAAGACAGCTTTGATACACACATTTTCAGATGCAGTATCTACCTAAACTAGTTACTTGCTTCTTGAATAAGATCTTGGATTCAAGACATGTTGAGATCATTTTTAGAGAAACTAGTTGGAGAGAAATCATGTGACTATTTTGTTTAGATGTTCTTAGGCAGACCCACCTTGCTTCTTCCATTTCTAGCACTATTCTCATAGTTTAATAGGCAATGTTGGATAAATGTAGGCTAACTTTCTTGCTTTCTTACACGCAAAACACTCCCATTTTTTCTGTTACAGACATCGCCAGTAAATCAGAAAAATAGTTTACAGCTGGGCTCATCTTCCTGACCATATGATAATTGACTGTTAAAGCTACTGACTAGCTTTTAATAGTTAAGGCAGGGCTTTTTTTGTCATAGAACATCCAGAACGGAGTTCCGGGACCTTTTTTGGATGGAACCTTGTAGGATAGGCAAGGCGGGTTGAATGACATGTGTGAATTCCGGCACCATTTTTTTTTTTACAAAGAAAAACACTGATTAAGGGCTGTATAAAATTGTCATCTGGGAACATGTCTGTTTTTTAAAAGATGAATTCTATTCAAGCAGCTTAGAAATCTGGAATTAGATCCTGTACATTTCAAATTAGAAGCAACGCTATATAACATATATTGGACTGCAGTTTAACAAATTTACAGAGGTAGATGTTCTTCAGGACAAATTTTGGGAGCATGGAGGAAAATAAAAGAGAATAATGAGCAATAGTTTTCTTTATATTTAGAAGGGCCCAGCACTGAATAAGACAGCACTGTGAAGATCCAATTAAGTTCTTCTCTGTTTAATATGGCTTATTTCTTTGTATAAAACTATATTCTAAATTTAGATTGACACTTGTCAATAAAACTCATGCATCATATTAAATTGAATATTATTTTTTAAAAAAATGTGTACCAGTCAGAAAGTTATTATTACACTGAATTAGCACAATATAATTTATACAATATTGCAATCCAGAATGAGTCACAGATCTAATGCTCTATTTTATTGTTTCTTTACAGTTTATCATTCACTGTGTTTGATATGTCAGGTCAAGGTAGATACAGAAATCTCTGGGAACATTATTACAAGTAAGTCCATTTTTAACAGTAAGACTTAGTTGTGCATTCCTCTATTAAATTTATGAACATAGTTAAAATAGTTAATAGTTAAAATAAAATATTAGTTAAAATAGTTGCACAGTAAAATTATAATTCAGTTTTTCTTAGACTTGTCTGCAGTATTCTCAAGCATGAACGAAAGGGAAGGAATGATGAATTAATTGGAATAATATAAATATATATATAATAAACTGTATAAAATAATTAGGTAATATATGAAAGATGTTAATTATCTATTCCTGTGAAAATTATTGCTATAGCAGCAAATACTACCTTTTAGATAGTTTTAATACCTTTTAAAGTCATCACCCTTTAAAATGCGCAAATTAAATTCCTATTTTCTAGCAGTCCTGGCTGTACACATAGTCCTTGATTTATGACTATTAATTCATCAGTTACAATACTGAACAAAAGGACTCATGACTGGTCCCCAAAGTTATGGCCATTGCACTGCCCCCATGGTCACATGATCACGATCTGGGCACTTGGTAACTCATTCACCCTAACCCTTGCAATCATGTGATCGCCATTTGCAATCTTCCCTGCTAGTTTTCCCAGAAAGTCAGTGCACTCTTGCACACCTTTCTTGACTTATGCCACTCCTCCAAGCACTCTCCCCAACCCACATGGCACCCCTCGCACATCCCTGTGCATCCTTCCCAACCTATGTGCTGCTTTTCACATACTCCATGCCCCCTTCCTCTCATGAAACCTCACAAACGCTCCCTAACCCAGCCCCTACATCCACTTATTCTTTCCCCCACTGGCAGCAGCCATTTACCTGCCTGCTGGCCTGGGACCTGTAAATTCCTCCTGGCTTCTCCACTGGTCTTTGGGATTCAGTTAACTATGACAATTGGCACTGCAGGGATTGCCATCACTAAGTGATGCCATCATGCTTTATATGACCACATCACAGAGCAACCAAAATTCTAGACCCAATTGTCATTGTAAGTCAAGGGCTAGCTGTAAAGCAACTTAGGAATTGCAACCCATTAATTTTGGGAGGTCTACAAGTTGCACAGTTTGGACTTTATACTTAATACAGTTATAGCTCCTTAATTGTTGAATATGTAGAATAAATTAATGGCCAAATTAAGATACAAGATATTGGCTCTTCTTGTATTAAGAATGTTTGAGTGCCTATGCAATTAACTTTATGTAACATGAATTAAAATTCTTTCCTTGAATAGTTACATGAAATAATATAAAATTATTGATATATTATGGATTGATATGCTGGTTAATGAATTGAGTTATGTCTCCTTTCTCCGGTATTTAAACATTGCACATCTTGGAAACATTAGAGTTTACTGCTTAATTCATTGTGCAAAAATTAGATAAAAAGCTGCTACATTAAGCATCTAAGCTTCTATTCCACACTATTTATTTATTTATTTATTTATTTATTTATTTATTTATTTATTTATTTGTTTATTTATTTTGAAAGATTACAAATACAGAAACTTTAAAGTATCACCCCATTGCAATTTCAAATGAAGTTGCTATTTTTGTTTTTAAAGTATATTGACACTATACTCTCATACTTACTGAGAGTAAATCACACTGAGCTCTATAAATGTATGAGTGCATAAATACAGAATTGTCTTTTAAACTGATTTTATAGTAGTTAAGTTTACAGATTTAGCAAATTACCATACTGCTTTTTAAAGGCCCTTAATAGCTTGGATTTAAATTTCTTTAAGCAGAATTTCAGTGAGGAAAATGCCTACCTCATTTTTACGAATAGCTCCGGTTACATTCTTGCAGCACACCACATATTGAATGCCACTGTCTCCTGCTTTGGGGGCAGAGAGGGCTGCTGTGGAGTGGAAATGTAAAAATGCTGTTTTATAACTCCTGTACTACAGTCAGGGCTTTCTTTCTCATAGAACGCCCAGAACAGAGTTCCAGTACCTTTTTGGGATGGAACCTTGTAGGGTAGGCAAGGCGGGTTGTATGATGTGTGTGAGTTCCAGCACCTTTTTTTTTTTTTTAGAAAAAAAGCACTGACTACAGTATATATTGCAATTTGGCATTCAAGTTAGTTTTTGAAATTTTTTTAAATATTGCACTAGAGCACGGATGTCAAAATCGCTGTGTCATGTGACGTTCACGACGTATCGTGACTTTTTTCACATTGCCAGAGCTGGGGTGGGCGCAGCCTCCGCATGATGCAACCGGCCCGTGAGCCGGCAGTTTGACACCCCTGCACTAGAGCACCTTCAATTGAGCTTTCTCAGACTTACTACATTTCCCACTTTTTACAGCTGTTGTAATTGCATGAATTGTTCAATGCACCATGGTAAATGAATGGATGATGAAGTGGTATCATGGAACAAATTTGCCAGTCATTTAATTAGACATTATCTACTGTCTATTTGTATTAATACAGATTATTATCGTTGTTGTTTACAAAAACAACATGTAAATAGGATTTTTTTTCTTCCAAATCCTTGACTTTATCTGAATTACTGTATTCCTTGGAACAAAGAGCTTGCTAATGCACACTGCCCATCATTTCAACCTGGCTTCTACTGCTAGAAGGACCAAACATTTTTGAGAATTACATGAAAATCAGAAATTCTGACTTGTTCATTTCTTAACAAGCCAGAATCAAAAGGTAAGAATAAATCATGCCCTTTGGTTCTGGTCTTTTAAGACAGAAACAAACCAGGTTGCTGGTAATCCTAAACAATTTGCAGAAGTGTCTTGTTTTATTTAGTTGTTCTTATTAGCAAGAGGACTCAAGTAAGGGTAATTAAACAGCACATACCAGTATGCTGCTTTTCTCTATAATTTTGTGTAATTCTGAGACATAGCCTACAATACTTTTTTGCCTCATGGCTTCTTATCACCTTACTATTCAGATTTTTCACACAATGTAATTTGTGTCTTCTGTTTTTATATTATACAGAGATTGTCAGGCCATTATTTTTGTCATTGACAGCAGTGACATACTAAGAATGGTTGTGGCCAAGGAAGAACTTGACACTCTCTTGGCTCATCCAGGTAAGGAATCTTGTTATCATTTAGAATCCTTTTTCAGAATAAATAAACTTCCTCTAGGATAGCCTGTCCCCAGCTTGGTCCTTTAGGTTTTTCAACACTGCATCAGTCGGTGCTGTAATAGAGCCCATCCCCCTTGCTGCTGCTGGTTCTCTTGTCTTTCCTTCCACATTTCCCAGTATTGTAGATTTATTTAATACAACTAGGTCTTTGCACAGGGTATCTATGCATGATAATTTGGGCTGGTTATTTGTGCCTCAAGTGAAATTCTAGATTTATTTGTACTTTGTTTACTCTGTTTTGTATGACATTCTCATGAGTCTACCCCAAGACCAAAGTTCAAAAGCACCTGAATTTTCTATCCTCATTTCCTTAGAGCAGTGATGGTGAACCTTTTAGAGACTGAGTGCCCAAACTGCAACCCAAAATCCACTTATGCATCGCCGGGTGCCGGGTGGGTGTGGCCCATTGGGTGGGGGTGGCTGCGGTGGTAACGGCAGACTGGGTGGGACTAAAAAGTTCAATCAATCAATTCCAACTTTGCAAGATTTTTTTTTCCCGCAAGAAGTTAAAATTGGTTCGCCACCACAGGTTCGCCACCACGACCATTGCCTGCACAATTCTGATCTTTATAAATTGCAACATCTGGGTATCTCTTCTAAGATGGCTTTGCTACCCTACCTACTACTAGTTTGGACTGTATTTCTTGGCAGCTGGTTCTTTTAATGTTAATAGTTGACCCTGAAAGGCAGAGGCTATCCACTACTTCAGTATCTTAATTGTCCATTCTGACTGCTGTACCTATTTAATGTAACATAAATCATAATGTGAATGTGCCACATAGTTTGCATGCTCCCAACCTAACATACCTTTTTAAGCAATTAATCCTTGCTTTTCACAGTTGGCAAATATTCTCTAATAGTTATTCTGGTCTATGTGTGCTGCTTTACTGTTGTTTAGAAAAAAGCACATCAATCTCATATATTTTGGCTTTGTTTTGAAAGATGAGTTTTAAAGTTTCTTTACATGAATAAACAGGATATGTTGGTGCATTTAAAAATGTGTTTTCATTTGCAATAGTTTTTGTGCTTAAACATGTGAGTTTGGAGAATTATTTAGAGATTTTTTTCAGAAACAGATATTCCTAGTAGTCTTTCATCTTGAGAGTTGTAGATTTCAAAGAAGATACTGACAGTGAACAACGTATGTTTCTATTTAAAATAGTTTTCATATATACGGTGACAAATTTAACAAATTATTATGTTCTAGATCTTAAACATCGCCGAATACCAATTCTGTTCTTTGCAAATAAGATGGATCTTAGAGATGCTGTTTCCTCTGTTAAAGTCTCTCATTTACTGACATTAGAGAACATCAAAGACAAGCCATGGCAAATCTGGTAAAATTCTGATTTCATAACTATAAATAAAATAATATTTAATATGAATTAAATACATAATTATATTTTGTATTTGGATTGTGAAAGCAAATTCATTTGATTCCATTGTTCTTTAGTTTTGTTGTGCATACTAGTTAATAGTATGCAGGTCCAATATATCTATTTACTCTCCATGATTCTTATTTGGAAAGTGTTACTTTCACCAATGATGAATATGCAAAATTTTATTGAATACAAGATTTGTGCAAAATGGAAGATAGTTGGTTCCTTCCATGCAATCATGATCAAATAGCCAATGTATGTATGTATGTATTTTTAAATATATATATTTAATATATATGTGTTTGTGTGTGTGTGTGTACACACACACACATATACACACACCTTTTATTTTTATTTTTGGTTTCAATTTGTGTTTATCCAAATTCAAACAGTTTCATTGTGGCTTACATTTAACTATAGAATTTTATTTATTTTATTTCAGAATATAGCATTAATGCATAAAAATTTACAAAAACAGCATATAAAATGTGTATTAAAATATAAAACATCAGAGCATTTTAAAAACGTATAGCACAAGTGATGAATAAAATTATGAATAAAATTAAATTATGTACAAGCAGTTACTGGGATTACTCAACCTGTGACCAAATATCTAGATTGTTTAACCAGTGAGCAGCAGTGTCCTGGAGTGCAAGATTAGCCTCCTGGTGTGAACCCAGGCAACATGACTTTGTCACAGCTAAATACACATTCCAGCTGCTGGACCTCACAAGGATTTCTCAGCAAGAATAAGAATAAATATCCATAATACAGTCTAAAATGTGAAACAATTAAATGTTAGTGGCAACTAACTAAACATTAAAATTAACTTGTAAAAGCCATAACAATACTCTAATACAGCAAAAAAACCCTAATTATATTAATATAATTACACTGAAATGATCCCTGATAAAACTTATGGAAGTAGTTTCCAACAACATAGAAAATGTACTTCAGTATGAATGGCACTTGGAAAAAGCTCAGTTTTACTGCTTTCTGGAGGGACCATCAGTGTCAGGGCTAACTTAATATCTAAAGGGAAACAATTCTATAATAGCAACCACCAAGCATTGGTGTGTTTTTTTTTTTACTTTTATCTACTTATATTTGATGAAATTTTTGCAATGGCTTATAATATAAAAGCACAAGAAATACATATTTAGTCTGATGTGAATGCTGTAGAAATCTAATTCCTGCTAAACACTGTTATAAAAAGAGCACATATATTCCTCTGTATCTGACCACATATTGAATACTGTGTTCTGAATAGCATGTTGAGACAGGCCAGTGTAGGCATAGTCAGAATTGTCAGAATTTTAAGACCTCTTCCAAAATGGCTTCTGGGAGAAAGGTCTTGCATAGTGACAAAATATGCATCTCCATGCATATTGGTTAAAAATATTGGTTAAATAACCAATTTACTAGAATGCTTTCTGTCATCCCTCCTTTAATCCCCTGCTTTATCATTGCCATTTTTTCTGGGGAGATGACACAATTACAAAGCATTGGACTACAACTGGTCCCAACTTTAGGGCATTTGTCTGAGGCCTAGAGCCATTCTTGGAAATAAAAAAAGGACACTGGCAGCTATGTCTTTGATGCCAGTTTTTTAGAACTTTTTTTAAAGTGCTGTTAAGATATAAAGTAGTGTAGATAACTTGGCATGCACCAATGTGGGCAGGTAGAGAAAATCCAGTGTGTTAATATCTTCAGCAGATCAGAAAGCAGGAAGTAATTTCACATTTGATACCATCTATGTTTGAAACTAGATCTTTTAAGTAAAGACCATTGTGTATGTTTATGACTCCTTGAAGCTGATTAATTTTAAAAATATTTCTTCACTTGCTTTTATCACTTACAAGAGTGTTTTCTTTCAGTGCTAGTGATGCTCTTAAAGGAGAAGGATTGCAAGAAGGTGTGGACTGGCTCCAAGGTATGTCTTAATTTTTTCTTTCCTGTTTTTCTTTCCATAAGCCCTCCTTTTTTTAAAAAAAAATATTTTTCCATCATTTCATTTTGTTTTTTCCTGCCTATTTCTGCTGTCAGATCAAATTACACAGTAAGTATCCTTACAATTATTTGGATGCTTCTTTCAGTGACACATTGTCATTCAAACAAAGCTACCTCCATTTTAAAAATTCTATTTTGATTAATATATCAGCAATACTTTTATTCCTATGATTAAAGTCAATATAATATAAAAATACTCATTTCCTTTTTTAAAAAAAATCCTAAGTCATTTAAATTCATTGTAAATAATACAATAACAGTTCTAATTTCTGGTCTAAGTGTGATCCAAATTATAGTTTTTGTTTAAAGCAGCTGAAATTATATATAATAAATATTGTAGTATATATATATTTAAAGTCAATTAGATAAAAATAAAGAGCTCTGGGATGTAAGATAAAAGGCTTTTTTAGCCTTTAATTTAGCCCTTTGCTCTGATGATGTTAACAGGTTGTTAACGAAAGCTCAGCAATTAATTAAAAAAAGCCTTTTATCTTACATCCCAGAGCTCTTTATTTTTATCTGATTGACTTTAAATGTCCATACCTGGGATTCCAATATTCAAAATTATTAAAGATATATATATATGTATGTATGTATGTATGTATGTATATGTATGTATACAACACACAAAAAAAGTTATTATCACAATTTTTAAAATGCGTTTTTACTGTTTCCTGTGTAAAAGCATCTTAAAATGGGTTGCAGAATGCAACACACTAAAAAAAACAATAAATTGAAAAAAATATTTAAAATCAAAAGCAGTTAAAAGAGAAAAAAACAACAAATGCTGAAACAGAAGCCATCTATAGAACTTCATTCCAAGACAATTGTTCATACTCACATTACAAATATGCTGTATGTGAATTATTTCATGTAACATGACTTATAAGTCTAGCCATTCCATTAGTTGTCATAAGCCATGTACTTAAGCAATTTAAGGAAGATGATTTTGCTACTCCTGCCTTATTGAAGTTTGCTTGCTTTAATGTTACCTACAGAGCAACAGTGTTGCTTGAGCTGCCATAACAAAAGAGCAGCTAGAGGCACTTTTCTCAAAAGTAGCTTTCAGGAAGAGGCACTGGACCTCAAGTTATTTTTCTGCAGCAAGCAGAAGATAGCAGATAAATCTACATAAAGAGATCATTATGCCCCTTTACATCACTCTGTTAAAAGATTTAACAGAATAAGATATTGAAATTTAGTTTTGGCTTTGGCAATAAAAATATACATTTTTTGAAATAAAATAACTGGATAGCAACTAACAGTTTCATATAGTTGGTTAACACTTTATTCTAAAACTTTCCAGTCAAGAATTTTACACTAAAAAACACCACTAGATGTCAGCAAAGATTGAAGATTGAGATGTAGAGAAACCTCCTAAATTACTACAATATTTATTATATGGAAATTAAAAACTTTAGTAAATATTGAACATTTTGAAATAGTATCTCAGAACTGTCTATCAAAAACTAGGCTTCTGGACATTTCTGTGCAGGTACCACAAAATCTATAAACATGTACATTAATCCTTAATACCCTAAAATGTTTCTGAATGGAATTTTTTGATGCTATCCTACAAGAAAACTGTATTTTAATATGAATTTTTATTTGTTTTTATCTAGATCAGATCCAAATAATGAAGACATGACAAGTTAATGAACTAATGGAAATGTTAAAGATAATTTATAGGTACTGAAGGCCTTAGACAAAAACTTTAGGCCTGTGTGTTTTCTTGTGTTGGTTTTCATAAAAGCCTTTAAAAATAAAATAGTATTTTTGCTAATAGTTCATAATGGCCATAATGTGACCAGAGATTTAGGTGTGGTCAAATAAAACAATGAAGTAATTGTATATTATTCAAAAACCTTTGGTATAATTTATTTAATTTTTAGTTAGATACCTTAGGGAAATGCATATTGTTATCTTAACAAAAATGATTTCTGAAAAGCTTTGCATAGTGTCTTACATTCAAAACTTCACAATGGCCATGTTTCTTCCTGAACTAAAATTAGATTTAAATTTAATAGTCACAAGAAAGAAAAAATGCTATAAAACTTAAGCTAGTGCACTTCTTGTTCTTTCAAACTTTTTTTTCCTGCAGCTGGGAAGACTATTTTTGTCACTTTTCTTCCCCATCCCTCATTTTTTATATCATCATGTTGTATTGTCTAGCCCACAGATCATAGTTTATCCTAACTCTTGTGTATAAAATAATTTCAAACCATAGTTTTAAATTTGACTTTATAAACCTGTTTTATATAACAAAGCATTGGGAAAGAAGATAATTAAGAGTTAAGAAAAAAAAATGGAAGGTTATTTTTCCAAACAGATAAGAAGATGACAGGTGTACAGGCACCAAGCTAGACTGTTTTGCTCCAAACGAAATCAGTGGGTTTTTTTTCCAAAATATTCAGTTTTCTCTAAGAATAATCTTTTCTTCTGGAATAGGCTGATCCACACATTGCAAGGAGCTTTTTACATGTCTGGAACTGTAATCTAAAAAGTGTGGTATTCTGGATGATACACTTCTGAAAAGGCACTAACGATTTGAATCAACCCCTTAGGCTAAGGAAATTGAACATTCCTAAACCAGACTGTTCTATTTTGCATACTTCTACTCCCATAACACTCGTAGACATCTTGCATGTCTTAGTAGACCATGATTATCATGTAAAACAGCCCACTGCAATAGAATTTGGTATAAGTTTAGCTTGCACAGAAATCAGCTATGCCATACAAGGTTTAGTTAGATGTGAATTGTGATTTTACAAGTTATTTGGATGCTTATGATGTGCTATTTATGTGCTAAATTGTATTGTTTTCTGTAATAGCTAAAATATTTTGATAAATAAAGTACATAACTGACATAATGAATTCTGTATCTTTTAAGATGACAAATTGCATTCATGAAATGAAATAGTCTGAAATATTGTAAGGGAGCATTTCCAGAGACCAGGCTTTACTTGGAAAAAATGCAAAGCAGGTAAAGCACTCAGTAAGCATTGCTTCAAGATACCTGGACTGATATTTTTCCCAGTTAAAAGTTGAAGGGAACAGGCTTTCATTGGAGGGTGAAGCAAGCTAGCAGGACAGAACCTCCACATCTTTGGGCTGTATCAAGAGAAGGGAATGGTTGGGATTCCTTTATTATTTGTTTTATGTTTTCCAATTTTGGGGCTATATAAGTCCTTGGCAGAAGAGCAAAGGTAAGCTAAACTAAAGGGGATACCATGACTACCTCAATCACAAGGCCTGGGAAAACATAAGGCTAATCCCAAAGTGTATATTGCTACAGTGCCTTTGTCAGGATGCTTTGGGTGAATGTTTGATGTTACTGTATACTAATAGAGAGGGAATCATCATCTAAATGATACAAACCTTCTTACCAGAAGTAGGAGTAGGTTATTTTACTGCACCCTAGAAGTGTGAAAAGCTATAATTATTCAAGCATAAGGTCCCTTGGACAGTTGCCAAGGCCTTAGAAGGTGAAGAGAAATAATATCTCTATATGCCTATCTATCCACCTAATCAATGGGATGGGCCTATTTGATGTAGTGCTTACAATGGTGGCCTAGACTGTGAGTTCTAGGCCTCCCTTAGGCATGAAAGCCAGTTGGGTGATTTTGGACCAGTAATTCAGCCCAACCCATCTCACAGGGTTGGTGCTAAAGGGAAAATATGAGATGGGAAAATTTGGTATGTATACTTCCTTGAGTTGACAAAAAATGGTAGAATAAAAATATAAAGTCCCAGGTGTTGGTTAACTGCTACTTACTACTTACCATTTTAATCTCAGAATTTCAATGTAATAATTAATATATAGAATTAAACCTAGCAAGGGTACTGTGCTGGGATTGCCACCATTGATCAAATAACTGATTTTAAGTGTTTCATATGTTTGGAGCATAGTATTTGTCAAAGACCTTCTAAGATAATTGGGATACTCAGGAAGTGGGTTTTTAAATTTCATCGCATACCCTGGTGTGATATTGACAGGTGGTCCTTTGCCAAGGGTGGTGCAGTGGCTCAGTAGTTAAGATGTTGGGCTTGCCAGCTGGAAAGCCAAAAGCCCAGGTTTGAGACTTGAGCGCCATGCAACAGGGTGAGCTCCTGTCCTCACCCCAGCTCCGATCAACCTAGCAGTTCAAAAGCATGCAAATGAGAGTAGATAAATAGGTACCACTTTGTTGGGAAGGTAACAGCGCTCTATGATGTCATCATGCTGGCCACATGACCAAGTCTTCAGACAGCACTGGCTCCACGGCCTCGAAATGGAGATGAGCACACCCGCAATGACGAGTAAAATCCGCAGGGACTCCTTTACCTTATCTTTGCCATGAATCTAGAAGCAGGAGCTTCCTCAAGTTTGGATTTAACTCTGCAGAATGTATTTATTTAGTGTATGGCAAAAATGTTAAAAAGCATCACAATTATATGCTCAAAGAACAAATATGAAACTATTTATAAAATCTCTGGAATTTCCCTGATACATGCTCAAAGGGCATTGTTCCACATTGTCGCACCATCTGCTTTGAAGCACCATAGCTACATTCTAAAAAGGAGAGCTTTCCCCCATTTACAGAATAGGCTAGCATACCTGCCATGTTGAGTCCTAATCCTATTGAGGACTGACCAGGCCTTAAGGGATAGATTGAATACTTTTGCTTCAGCTGTAAAGCAAGGAGTGTTGTGACACTCTGGAGGACCAATAAAGGATCATTCTTGCATCCAGACCTGAAGCAGATTGAAGTTGTTATTCAGAAAGTTTCTGGCTGTCCTAATAGGTGGATGTCTGAAGCAAAGCCTGTTGTTTATAGCATCAGTAATATCTGCATTGATTGGCAGGTGAGTGTTATTATTTTCTTATACTTTCGCAGTATTCCCTTTATGGTGGAGGAATATAGCTCAAAACTGTAACCAGAAAGTGAACCACACACATAGTGTTGTTCACTCTGCAGCATGAAAGAAGTGTTCTTGTACTTACTTACTTAACATTCCCACTGGCATTTATAGAATTATTGTAATTGATTGTTATTTTAATTTGTATTTGTGTATTTTTCTGTCCACAAGACATTCAAAACAGTTCAAATGTAGTTACAAATTGTTTACACACATTTTGGGCTTTTATTTTGAAGATAATACATTGAAATGTTCTTTAAAAAGAAAACTGATTTATGCAATGGCATGCAATTATTTTAGGCTCCAGTCTAAACTCATTTATTCAGAGGGCTTCCTTCTGTGTACATGCCTTACAGCATTTTTTTGTTCTGGAAAAGGAAGTATCTTGGAGAAAACGGATGAAGAATAATAAATACATTTAAGATTATGTAGAAAGACAGGCCTTGGTATGTCCTAGTTACACCAGTTTTTAATACTAGTAAAAAAACAAACCCAGCTCAATCATATACTTTTTATGAGGAATCTAAAAAAAAAATTGAATGCCTGCAGCACTTAAACACTAAAATAGGGCAACCAATTTATGCCTACCTAAGGATAATTCTTATTTGGTTTAAGCAATTTTGACTGCATTAAATTCTGGGACATGATTTCATCAATATTTAGTGGTCTTAAGGCTCAGAAGTATGTATTCCACAACATAGCTGTCTTCCAGATCTCCATGAACATAGTTTGATGATTTTTGTTTGTTTATTTTCTTTTATTGTTTGGGTTTTGTTGGTTTTTTTCTATCATACGTCAGAGTCTTAGGAAAAGGAAGAGCCAAGTAGTTATTTTTTAAACGTTTTAAGAATACTTCTAAAACAGGTTTTCAGCAGATTAAATTAAAGCTGATTGTGGCAGTCACTCCAGTATTCCTTCCACACTGTTGCCGAGAAATCAACACACCTATTTATTGATGGCGACTGTTTATTTTCGGAGGAAAGGCAAAACTCGATCAACCTGAAGTTCTCGGCCGCAGAGGGCAAGGGAGGAGCGGGGGGAGGCAAGACCGGCGAGCGAAAACTCTGGATCACGCGCGCGGGAACTGAAGCTCCTGCGTTGTTCGGAAAAGGCGGGGTTTAGGGAGAAGGGGCGGTGCTAGCCAGGGCCGGGACCCGCCTCCTGGGCCGGGCCGTTGAGGGTGCCGTGCAACTATTTCTGCCTCCACAGCGTAGTAGAGGAAGGGCTCGGCGGCAGGCTTGGTTGTATTCGGTCCCGTTGGGACAATAATGGACTAGAAAGCTAGGCAGAACGAGGGCTTCTGTCCCCAGGACAAGCGTCAGCGATTCGCCCCCTGTTTTTTTTCAGCCTTAGAAAAGAAGTAGCCTGCTGCTTCCCTGGTTGTTGAAGATGTCTGGAGGGAGTACCCGGAGGAGAACCGCTTCCCCCTGGCACAACAATTTATCTCGACTTTTTACGAGAAGTTCTTCCAAGGAACAGGAAGAAGAGAGCAAAGTAGCCCCTGAACTGCACTGCGCACGAAGGTAGGGACGGGGCAAAGTTTGAAGGCAGCAGCGGCGACTCTTCCTTCCTGGCTGGAGTAGGCTGGCTGGGGCTCTCGTGCCTCGTCTCCTCCTTCGCTTCTTCTCTCCTCCCCCCCTCCCTTCACCTCCTCGCCATCCTTCTCCCCGCCCTGCGCTTCGATACTTCTTTGGCATCGTCCCTTCATTTTGGCTGAATTCGCGACAAAACCCAGAGCCGCAAACTTGCCAAACGCTTGTTAGTCTGGCGCGAGCTCAGCCAGAGTCGTTCCGTGGAGGGTTGAGTGCGTTACGCAAAAATCCGCAAAATGGGGTTGAGGAAACTTTTTGTTAACCCCGGATAAATGTATAATGCGAACGCAGCCTTTGTAATGTTAACTAGGCGGTGGTCTTCTGTTTAAATAAGTTTTTTTTAAAAGTCCCGGAAGCTAAGAGCATCTTCAGTATAAGTGCTGTAATTTCACATGGAATAGGCATATGAACTGTGCAGAAAATTAGGTCTCGAACGGTTTGTTGTCATTCAGGGAAGATGGGCTTTAGATAGGTATTACTCTTTTAGGCTCTTTCTTTTTCTCCCGTTCATACACTTAGCCAGTAAACAACATTGGATCATTTAAGTTCAAATACTAATTTCAAGCTTTTTTTACATTTTGGGGAGTACAGCTTTTGCCCTCTGAGAGCTTTTTGGCAAAACCTCTTTGGAAGGTATAGAAACTGAGGGATGGTTCTGATAATAAAAGCAACAGGTCTATTTCTCACACTTTATATCATATTCTACATTTTATTATGAACAGCCCCTGTGTATGTGTACATTTTGCATGGATCTGTGATGGGTGTTATATAAAATACAAGGTAAAAGTAACAGTTAATAAACACTGGTAACCTAAGATAATTCCATGGTGATTTAATATATCCATTCTTAAAGTTTCTGTAAATTAGATAAGTCTTTTTCCTCACTCCTGGTCAAAAAAGCATCAGAACAAATCCAGTGAGGTTCAAACAATCCCTTTTGAATTGCTTTCATGTGCAACATGTTACACACCCTTGGTTCAAATTGTTTAATGATAATCTTAATGGGCCAAAACTTAACAAACAATATTGTATCCAGTAGCAGTACTTATGAACATAATGCATTCTTGTCCCCCCCCCCACACACACACACACTTCCTTTCTCTTCAGCACACCCTGAAATGGAAAGGGGAAAGAATGAGAGGAAATCCCATTGTAAGAATGGTTTTTGGTCATATAATATGTGGCAAAAAGAAAACATTAAAATTATGTAATATTATGTGCCTTTTATTTCCAAGATTATAATATTAATAAACTTTAAATAGCAAAAATAAGCAACCAATCATTTTTTAAAAAATAGGTTTTTATTTTCAAATTGTAGTGCACCACAGTATTGGTTAAGGCATTTCCATGTTGTATAATCTGGTGAATAAGAAATTGTG